CCATTAGCTGAAACACCTATATTAATATTAACATTTTCAGAATCCTATAAAAATTCTTTGATTATAATTCTTATATAGAAAAAAAAAGAATAGAATATATACTTGTGCAGGATGAATATCTACACCATACATAGCTAATTTTTTAGCATTTTCAAGAAAATGTAAATCAGCTGCATTAGGTGGTTGACCTCTAGATAAATACAAAATTGAGAAAAATAAAATAAAAATATATAAATTCATACTTATGTCTTTTATGTTGTTCATGAATACGTTTTAATAATTCTTCATCTTGTTGAGGTGCAAATTGAAGTTCTTTAAGATAATCATATGTTGTTCCATGATCTAATTCACTATAATCTCCTAATTCAGCTTGAGCTGTATATGAACCCAATAAAGCATAAGTTACAAATGAACAAGGTAATCTTTATAAAAGAATATAAATAAAAAATTTTGCAAAAAAAAATAAATATTCGATTAACTTACTTTCCAGAAAGAATATCTTGCCGTAATTGAAGACATAATTGATATCTATAATAATTATAAATCTCAATTAAAATATGACTATTTCAAATTTTGATCTGATTAAGCTCGGATATCGTTCTCTGTGAAAGATTTACTTACGCATTAGTCTCATTTATATTAAAGATAAGAAGATCTGCCTTTTTTTTTTTACCAATGATACTACCAACGAAAAAATGCTGGCGGATACTTCCATGGATAGTTAACCACAAAAAACACAAGATTGATTTTTTTTTGTCTTTAGAACTCGTTGCACTGATCATTTTAGTATAAAAAGTATTCAAATTTACTCATGACGAAAATACTTAAAAACTATTACCGACTGCTGATAATGAGCAAAACATTCCCAAGTGTCTCGCTTCGATTTCGTTGGTTTATATATAATTCGATTGAGGATCTCGAGTAGGTAAAAAGCGGAAAAGGGTTTCGGCATATGATATCTTCGAAGAGCTTCTGCGGAAACTCAATTAAACACCGACAGAGGATATATTGATTAACTAGTGCAGATAATCTTTATATAGTGCTTGACTTTGAATAATGATCCATTCAACTTATCGACTCTTGCTCGAAAAAATCAATCATAAAAAATAAATAACTGTTTACTATACCTTCTACATCTCTATATCTCCTCCGTCGGTGTTTAATTGAGTTTCTGTGGAAACTCTCCGAAGATATCTAATTGATTCCGACTGACGGCTTTTTCTTCTGGAATTACGACCATTTGTCTGATTTTTTCAGCGAAAACTAGAAAATTCATAACTCACGAGGGAACCTTCCGAGGTGCTAAAAAGCTTTTGAGCCCAAATTTTGTCCATAAGTAGGGGATATATAGACTAGAAAAAGCCTAAGATATCAGCTTTTTACTAGTATTTTCCTATAGGACCCCATTTTCCCGATAAGATGAAAGTTTCGAGT